TACATGCCGCCTATTTGAAATCTTCTGGATTGTAGTACCCCTTGTCAATGTTACGTTGCTTTAGAACGTCTTGGAGGAACATGCGACCTTCGTGGAACAGAGTCAACGAAATGACGGCCTTCATGATACCAATACCTTGTCCTCTGAAAATACCTCTCATTCCAAATTGTGTAGAATCGCGAATGACTTCCTGAATGGCCTCGACGACACTAATGGGCTTGCCCGAAATCTTGCTGGTTTGCATGATGACTTCCAATCGAGAAAGAGGATTAGTGACGACGACGTAGATGGGAGAAACAACGGAGGAAGCGATTAAACCAGTGGCCGATCGTCCCATTCCAGTCTTTTCACCGACTTCCTTTTGCACGTATTTTTGGAGACGAGGTTGTCCAACCAATCCCAACAAGGCGCTGGCCAAAGAGTGACCCATAAGAGGAACGGTTCCACGGAAGAGGGGAACAAATCTTTGAGCAGCAGACTCTCGGATGATCTCCATGATGGGCTTGGTGGCACCAGTTTGCTTGAAGAAGGCACGTTGTTGCTTTTCAATCATTCTGATGGGATTGATGAAGGGAGCAGAAAGAATGGAAGCTCCAGTGGCAGCAACAGCTCCAGGAGATTCTCCTTCTCCCAAGAAGAAAGAAATTCCCAACAAAATGCCAAACTTGGGGATGCGCTTGAAACCAACTCCAATCAAACGAGGACCGACACCACTCATAGAAGCAGAAACGGGGTGGGCGCGGAAGACAGACTTGGCTTCTTCCGAAGCGATTTTGGGATCAACTGCCTTTCCAGCAGCATCCTTAGCGTACTGTTGCACAAGCTGACGGTAAGCGGTAACTGGGTTGTCCATCAATGTTTGGAAAGCAGACCCTCCCAAGTAAGCACTCATGGCTTGGAATTGGGAAAGGCCGGACTTTTTAACGACAAAGTAGTCTTCTCCGAAAAATGCCATGGTTTATTGAATTAAGCGAGAGATAGATAGATAGGTAGGCTAGACTTGTTGTAAGGGAGAAGCAAGTTACCGTGTACCTGAATACATGCACCAATGCTGCGTTTTCGGGTCGAAAGGTCGAGTGCAAAATCGGTCATCATTTTTTTCGAGCCAACGTCAGAAGCCAAGACAGGTAAGAATGCTGTATTCTGATTGGTGGAAACCTTTGCGGTGCGTAGGACGTGATGATCAAGTTATTCAATTTTTGCATCATCAACAGATATCGCCCGTCCGTCAACCGTACATTTGGTGGCATTTTCTAAGAGTGACTTCGATTGTGTTCGACGTCGTACCGGGTGGTACACACAAATTCAAACCATTCCACATCCTGGTGGATACCTTCATAAAAACACATCTACTTGCAATAGGACTACCTACAATACTTTCTATAGCATTTATTTTAATACAAATATCATAAACAAAACCATGCCCTCCATTGAAGAATTGCTCAACAACAACAAGAAAAAGAAGGAAGAAATCCGCAAGACCAATCCCGTCCTCAAAGCTGACTCGGAGCCACCTTCTCATATCGACCAAGATCAAGTCCGCAAAGAAGTCGAGGACTTGATCCAATCCAACAATGTAATGGTATTTTCCAAGAGCTACTGCCCGTACTGTACCCAGGCCAAGATGGCATTGAAAAGTATACCAAACCTAGAATACAAGACGATTGAAATGAATGACGGCGAGGATTCTCAACAATACGAAGGATGGCAACACATGGTGGCCAAAGTGGCCAGCGAAAAGGTCACGCCCGAGACTGCCAACAACAATACCATGAGTGTGCCACAAATATTCATTAATCAATCTTATATTGGAGGAGCAGATGATCTCGCCGATATGTACACGGATGGGAGATTGGCCAAGCTATTGGGAAGGCCGTCCTTGTCATGAAGATTAGGATGATAGCGACAATCTCATGAAATTGGATGGGATCAACACATCCATCAATCAATCAATAACCAGGCGTTGCGACACTGCACCACATACATAATACAACAACACAGTGTATACTATATGATTCATAATTTCAAAATAACCAAACCCTTTCTTTTAAACAATCTTGATCTCACTGCCCTCATTGTAGCTGTTGTTCCGACTGTTGGCTCGACTGTTGGCACGACTGTTAGCTCTACTATTCGCCCGACTGACGGCTCGACTGCCCGGACGACTCTGGATGGTTTCGAGTGATTTCTTCATGTTTTTGGGAAAGGAACTCAAGCCCATGAACGCCTTGGCCAAAACCCGAAGGCCGGGGCGTCGCTTTTTAATTTCGGCAATGGTTTGGGACAAATCGCGTTCACTCAACATGTGTTGGGTTTGAGTAAACCAGGGTGATTCCAATGCTAATTCTGCTGACAAGCGTTCGTCCGGATTCACCTTCAACAAACCGCGAATCAAATTTTTGGCATCATTGGAAACGTGAGACCATTCCTCGGCAAAAAATTCAAAATCGCCAGCCTTGACGCGGGCAAACATGGCTTCTTGATTGTCGTCCGCAAAAGGTGTATATCCGCATAGCAAGGAATACAAAACGACGCCACAACTCCACATATCACACATTTGGTCATATGGTTTGCCATTCAAAATCTCGGGTGCCACATAACTTGGCTAAAGGCAATGAAGAATAAGTCATGGTGAGAAAAAAGAAAAAAAGTGTGAGTGACGAACAGAATGAAAACGATAACACCGAATCGTATAATAACAGCAGCGACAATACCAACAATACCAACAAAAACAAGAAAAAGAGCAATCACAACACTCACAGTTCCACAACGGGAAATAAGCGACTTGGGCGTGTGTACACGTTTGGCAAAACCAAAGTCGGCAACCTTGATCCTGGCATGGTCGTCATGAGACACCAAAAGTAAATTTTGTGGTTTGATATCACGATGAGCAATGCCTTGGGAATGCATATATGCAACAGTTTCCAGCATAAATCGGGCCAAGTTGCGAGCGTCGAATTCCGTATACGACTTGCGGTCCAGAATTCGGTCAAAGACGTCTCCTCCGCCAAGGAATTCCATTACAATGTAGTATTTCTCGTCATCCTCAAAGAAATCCAGTACTTCCACAACATTCGGATGGTCTAGTCCTGCCATGATACTAACTTCATGTAAGACTGCTTCGTCCGTTTCTGGCTTTCCGTCGCGCTGAATGACCTTGACGGCATATTTGGTGTCGGAACGTTTGTGTTTGCATTCGTATACAACGGCAAATGTCCCTGCATGAATCTTTTCACCAAGCTCGTAGAAATCCAAAAATTTCTTATTGTGCATGTGCGACATTTTGAATTTCTCAGGTTTGGAATCGTCGACTGGGAAATAGGTGGACCCAGAAGACTCGTCCCGCTTGTCCATGGCGTTCATCAAATCACTAACCTTGTCATGTCTGAAATTTGAGGCCACGGACACAAAGACGGCAGTGATGGCGGATTTCAACTTTCGACTGGCGTTGAAAGACTTGATTTCTGATAGGGAGGTGGTGAGATCACGGCTGGAAAGTTTCATTGCGTCAACCTCGAGCCACTCCGTGTTCAGGGCTGCTTGGCAGGTCAATCGCGATTTGGGATTGACCGTCAATAGACCGGAAATCAGTTTCTTCGCGGCCATACTGACATTCGACCAGTATTTCTTGTGGAAAGTATAATCGGCAGCTCGAATCTTTCGGAACAATCCACGGTGATTTTGGTCTTGAAATGGAGGGTAGCCACCGATAATCATGAAAATCAAGCATCCGCAACTCCACATGTCCACCTGTTGGTTATAAACCTGGCCCTTGATGATTTCAGGTGCCACAAATGCGGGTGTTCCACATCTCGTCTTTAGTCCCTCGTTGGGGATATGCTTTGCAAAACCAAAGTCGGCAAGTAAAATGCCCGCGTCGTCCCATTTTCCTTTTAATAGTAAATTTTCAGGTTTCAAATCACGATGACAAATCTTGAGCTTGTGCATTGCATCTAGTGTTTGTAGTAGCGTGGTGGAGAGTTCACGAGCGTCTCTCTCGGTGTAGGCGGTTCGTTTGCCCAATCGATCAAAGACGTCTCCTCCTTCCGCAAAGATTTGGACAATAAAGTAGGTTTTGGGGTCAATGTAGATATCTACCAGTTTGACAATATGGGGAACATGTATGAGATCCTTCATAATATTGATTTCTCTCATCGTATTTTCGTCATCTTTTGCGTTCAGCTTTGTGCGATCGACAATCTTGACGGCAAACTCCTCATCTGTAACCTTGTGCTTGGTGGTGAAGACTTTGCCGAAGCTACCTGACCGAAGCGCCTCTCCAACTTCATAATCTTGTTCAAATCCTCGAAGTTTGGCTTCATTATCGTCGGCAAGCGTTATGCCTGGCATTTTGGAGGGGGCCGCCATCGTCGGTAGTCTCCTCCTTGCTTTATTCAAAGTATGGTACTCTTTCCTCGAGCAATTGATATATCACGGTAAAGATTCGATTGATTCTGTTTTCACGCTAGCATTTTGTAGGTACTGTACCTGGCTCGTGCAAACTGTCTCAGACCTCTCGGTCCCGCATGCCGATGGTCGAAGAGGTCAATTTGGCGGGCAGTTGAATGTACCGGGATGTATGTACAGTATATGGTAATGCTACAGTACTGTACGCTTATCCCAGCATACCATACTCCAAACTTTCCATGTAACCTGTGCTATTACCTGGCAATACAATATGTTGCTTGCTCTTTCACCAGCAACACCAACTACTGCTATTGTCATGACAACATTTCGATCGACAAAACCACTATGCGGGGGGCTAGGGCGGATAGCTTTGTAAACCAATTTAGTCGATTTCTTGTTGTAAACCAATTTAGTCGATTTCTTGCTACTATTCGCCCTCCCTCCACTATCATCCATGGAAGTCCTATAATAAACAAGTGGCGGATAACTGTTTCGGACATCTTTATCTGTTCAAGTCAACCGAACTGATGACAACTTCACTTTCTGAAGGTACATGTTTAGAGCCAGTTGGCAGCTCGGAGAACAGGTTTCGCACGTGACAATTTTGTCTATTATATTCGTAACGAATATATATATTTCGCCAACACAACGCAAGTTACTTACAGATACACATGTAAGCTCATGTGCCAAAATTATGTCAAGTGGTGGTGGAAAATTGCCACCGATAGTCGAATTCCTAATCCCACTTCCGGATTGACTCCATTCTGTCACCATGACCTCTCAATCGACTATGGCGCCTTTCTGCCTTCTTTCTATGTTGTTCATCGCATCATCCGATGCAGCACCACTCTTGTTTAGTGATAATGACAACTCAGAGGTAGAAGGTAGAATTGTTGGAGGAACAAATGCACAACCTGGTGAATTTCCGTTTTTCGTCCAGTGGACGGGGTGCGGAGCATCGTTGATTCACGAGGATATCATCTTGACTGCAGCACATTGCTCTCCCATTGACTCGGAGGATGTTATTGTGGGTGCACATTCCAAATACCAAACAGAGGGCCCACCAATCAATTCTGTCGAACGAAAAATTGTCGAACGGCGGATACATGAGAATTATGATGCTAGTGCAATCATCAATGACTTTATGGTTATGAAACTGGATAGAGCTGTGGACTTGCCATCTGTGAAATTAAATAAAAAAGCGGACGAGCCAGCGTATGGAGATAGCGTCACAGTGATCGGATTGGGCTCCACAAGGGGAAGACGGGACACGGTCTTCAATACCTTCCAGGATGAAGATGAAGGTGAAGATGAAATTAGTACCAGAAATATCAAACTACAAAAGGTAGATATTGAGATCATCCCCCATTCTGAATGCAATGGAAACACGATGTACAATGGATTGATCAAGGATGATTCCATGTTGTGCGCTGGCGATAGGCAGGGAGGTAAAGATGCATGTTTTGGTGACTCTGGAGCACCGCTTTTTGAAGTTGAGAATGGAGCGTACAAACAAATTGGTGTGGTCTCCTTTGGTGCTGGCTGCGCAAGACCCGACCGACCTGGAGTATATGCTAGAGTCAGTTCAGCGTATGACTGGATTCATGAGCAAATCTGCGAACTTGCAGACAACCCACCAAGTTCCTGCAATCCCACTGGAAGTCCAACACCTTTGCCATCCCTCAGACCGTCAAAAGATCCAGGGGTGGTATCTATTGCTCAAGTGACAGACACTCTATCACCGTCCTCTGCGCCGTCTCGAGGGTTTTCCTCCAATGCGTTTGATTTAATACACTTTTCGTTTTCGGAAGATGAGCTGCTTGACAGTATAGATGGAGAAGTCACACAGTTTGTGGGTGTCGAGGAACCAACCTCCAGTCCAACTGCAGCCACAGCAGTGATCGCCGAGTCACCGGGAGAAGCGAGAGCACAAGGGACGCCATCCTCTTCACCAATGAGCTCAGGAGTCTGGGTTGGTGTTTTTATTCCAGTTCTCGGCACCAGTTTGCTGCTTCTACTTTCATGATGATAGTCACAGTGCCGACTCGAGATCGCTACCGGGGTTGACCTGTCAAGGATACAGAAAGTTTCGTACTCCTTTGAGCTGGTAAGGGATTCTGTAATTTATAAGCATAGAGTTTAGTACCAAACATAAATCAAATTGTTCAGGCTTTGTTGGACAGAGGTGATAGGATTAGATTACAAGCGTTTTCTGCATACGACTCGCACGATTGGAAGACCACGGCGGAGAACAACAGTGACTGTTACAACATACCGTACAGTTGGTTGCAACGAATCGACATAGTAAGCAATGGATCACAGTCACCACGACCACAGTATGCACAACATGCATGACATAAGCGGAATGAGTGGTATGCACGACATGCACGCCATGGAGACAGTGGCGGAGAAGGTTGCTGTTGCATCCAACTCTTTTTGCGAAGGCGACATGGGGATGGTAATGTAAGAAAGGCAATCTTGTGTCACTGCAGTCTATGCAATCGCATGTTGGGGCTAAATTATTTGCCGTTTTCGTGTGCAATCAATTTGGCAGGTACATGGACGGTTTCAGGTGGACGCTTAAGGAAGAAGGAAACAGCTGTCTCAATCTATATTTTGCCTCATGGACATTGAACAGCAAAGGGAAAGTGCTTGGAGCAATGGCTGCAGTTTTCTGTTTGGCTGTCTTTACTGAAGCCATCTCTAAAATGCGTCACAAACTTTCCTTGCGGGCAAGAGATGTTTCAACGCCTTTGCCAGAACGGAGGAAGATCGCTATATTCCAAACACTGCTGCATGGAATCCATGCCTTCATTGGTTATATTGTTATGCTGGCCACTATGACTTTCTCATTGGAACTACTCTGTTGTGTAATTTTTGGAATTACAACTGGATACTTTGTGTTTGGTGGTGAGAGTTACAGTCATGTTTCGACCAATCCATGCTGCGCATTTTTGGAGGATGAGGCACAGGAGCGAACTTTTACCAGGGAATATGCAGCAGAAAATGCGCGGGCATTGATGTCATCATTACCCCCAGAGGCTGGAAACTGCTGCAGCAGCGAATTAAGGACCGATACCAACTCGTCTCAAGAGTTTTCTTCCCTGTCAGCACCCGGTGCAGGTGACCAAGCCTAGATATCTGATTCTTCTTCCTGCTCTAAAATTGCCTGTATCATAATTGTTCTAGAATTTTTTCAATCTTTTATCATCTTTATCACCCTCCAAATCTAAGACACCAAGCCAATCACCAAAGGTACTGTAGTATTCAGTATTATTCTTACAGTCCTGCAGGTCTGTGGTCCGCCTCTCCTTCACCTCATTCAAGATCTGGTCCCACGAGTCGGAAGTCGTACCCAAGATCATTTTCTGATCTGAAAAGTGACGAACGACTATTGGATTTTTGGCACGTTGACACTTTTTGTGCAGTTGCAGAGGATATCATTGCATTAGAACTCAAACAATGATGATCCAAAAACGTCTTTTCCTGACGCTACTCGTCTTGGTTTGCTGTTTAACCCCATCATGGTCAAAGAAGGACTACAATGCACCCCACGGCCACCAAGGCTTGTTGAAGTCTTACGAGCCAGGTCCTTTTGACCTTGTTTTGAACAAGAAGGAGTTGGACACACTCGGTTCCGGGAAGCCAGTTATGAAGCAGCCACCTCCAAAAGAGGGGGAACTTGGTGGTGGTGCCATTTGCGTTCAGGATGTCGATGCCCCCAAGGAGGCAGTGTGGGCACAAATCTTGGATTTGGACAGCTACAAGAGCAAGGTGCCGAAGTTGAACGAATGTAAGAACTACTTTGTGAACAAGATGAAAGATGGAACCTTTTCGATCAAGACCAAGATGGTTGTTGGAATTATTCCTGGATACTCTGTACGTACCTGCTTTTGCTTTCAAACGAGAACTGGTTTGGTGTTGTACAGTGACAACGGCGCTTCTCACACAACAGTTTCAAATCCAATTCCAATTTGTCTTCATCCAATCACCCATTATGTACCAGTATACTTCCTTTTATGATCATAAGTACAGTCCGGAGAAAGACTCTGTCACTTGGAGACTAGATTATGACAAGACAAGTGATTTCGATGATGTTTCCGGACATTGGCATTTGGAAGATCACCCAGACAAGCCTGACTGCACACGAGTCTTCTATGCTTGTGATGTAATGTTAAAGGGTGCTGTACCCAAGCCTATTGCCAACTATTTGAGCAAATCGGCGCTCAAGACCGCCACTGGGTGGGTCAAGAAGGAAAGTGAGAAGAACCCCACGGGCAAGGTGCCAAAAATCTTCGAGTCCTCAGCTGCTTTCGCGAAGAAGTAAAGAATTCGCAATAGCAACTCATCTATGTAGATATGGTTATAGATTTTGTAATTTCTTTCTCGAAAAGAGTAGCTTATAATATTGACAAGCTGGACTAACTCAAAAAGAAAGGAGATGGCGCCACTCTCGTCAGATACGGATGGGCCATCAACTTTGACATTGATGGTCGATTTCGTGGGTCCTTTTGAAGACATTGATCAATTAGATCTCGCAAGTTGGGATCGCAACCGGAACCCTCCAAATCATCCAATGGGATCTTGTCTAGCCCTTTAAGTAGCTTGGTGATTTCATTGGCGTCTTTGTGGTCAAAGACACCCTTTCCACTGGCCAATTCCAAGTACAGCATTCCCAATGACCATATATCATAGGAATAATCCAAGATAAACTTCGATGCCTCTCCCTCTTCAAAGGCAACGGCAAACTCTGGTGGACAAGCTTCTGGAGAGTAATCTACAGGGTTGCCTCCTTTGGGCATTGCGGATTCCAAATCAATACCCTTGACTTCACCATTGGCCATGACCACAAAGTTTTCCGTCTTGATGTCCGTCCACACCAAGCCTGCTAAATGAACCGCTTGTACGCACTGAGCAGCCGCCTTGCAGGCTTCCAGTAGTTCACTTCCCTGTAGTCTCCCTCGACTATCTAAAAATGACTTGAGGTCGCGAGATCCCATCTCCAGCACCAGTGCACATTGCTCTCGTAACTTTTCTTCATAACCCGCCATCGGTAGATATTCAAAGCATTTGACGAATCGATCTTTAGACAATCCTCCAAAGCCGAGCCGTTGGTAGTTTTCATATTCTCTAGATACGGCTTCTATATTGGTTGATATTTTGACGCACAGTGGTGGTTCGGCAGGGACACCGTCCATATCGGCCCGGTAGGCCTCCCATATTCTTGATTTGCCCGAAGTACTCGGCGTTGGTTCTCCTGACAAATAGTATTGTTGCGTGATTCCAACGGCTCGCATATTCAAATTCAATTTCGACGCAGCTTCTTGAAAGGCTGCTGATCCCATGACCAGTGAATTGACATTGGATTTTGTTGAAGTTCCATCTTGTTCCATTGGTTCCAAGAGCTGATAGGTGGTCCCACTGGCAGTTTGAACCAGGGCGTGTTCCGCTGCGGCATCAGGATCTTGAATGGGGCTAGTGGTAATCACATCGCCATCACTTATACTGGGATGTCCCGTTACAGTTCCAACAATGCTCCCACTCGACAAGACTCTCCATTCGTTCAGTTGAGGTGGGCTCTTATTATTATCAGGATAGGCTCCCAGTACCTTTGTCATTCTAGTTGTTGTTGTAGTTGTTGTTGTTGTTTGTGATATTATCGGATTACGGTGTATATGTCTCCTTCTTTGCCTGACGACAACAGTATTGCCGCAAAATCCTGACGCAGACGGAAGATTCCAACATCTCGTTCCACTGATTGCTATCAGAAAGATGTGGAGGAAGATTCGTCGATGAGACATGCCTGGTTTTAACTGCTGTTGTGGATGTGCAAATTACTGTCGCGTCAGCGCAAAAAGGAAGAAAAGTAGCCGATAGAACTGTTTTGCCGATTGGTGGGCGAAGATAATACAGTAGACTTGCTTTGGATTGGGGTTGTAATAGGTGTTGATGGGCGGAAGGGAGGAGAGCGACTTCGTTGTTGCAAATGACGACAGAGCGACACGCGTCAAAAGTGCAGTGGAGTAATGGGGGTTGGGAAATTGACATTACTGCTGCCAAATTTTTGAAAATGTCACGGGCGAAGTTTGTGCGCGATAAAGTTATTGCTAGAGCAATCGAAAATGTGTTGAATTTGTGGTGAGAAAAAATTATCAAAAATCTGTTGGCCACGAATTTAAATTCTTCTCGTTCGCGTGTACGTGTACAAAAGTGCTTGATCGTTGAGGGCAACAATTTTAAAAAAAATGGTCAGAATAGTACCCAAAGTACGTGTACGTGTACGGTATGCAAGTAGATAGAAAAAGCTTGTGTCCTTGATTGCACTCTAGCTTGTCCATTTCACTGTTCATTGTCCTTCTTTTCCACCTCTCCTCGTCGTCTTGCAAAACGGTGGATTGGTCGGCCTGCGCATTTTTTGAATTGTACATACGCCAAAAGTACTGTGACTTCTCCCCCAAAATTCAATTTTCAGCTCCCCTAGATTGTCACACTCTGAACCCAATGCGATGGTTGCTGTCTTTGTGAGCATCATTTTTACACAGCATCCTTTATCAAGAGCGAGAGGAAAGCATCCAACATGGATCAATCAAGCTATGCTCGATCGACAATGGGCAATCAATCCGTATCTTCGGCTTCGGATCCTTTTGGATTCCAGAAACAACAACAAGGGGGAAATCAAGGTCAACCGCCACAACGACGGCTTCAACCACAGCCAAGAGGCCGCTACGAGTATCAAGCCAAGCCACCGCAACCGAATCGACCACTGAATGATGCTGAATCACAGCCAGCGACCCAGCCAATGTCGCAACAGGCACATCAACAAGCGCATCAACAACAGCATACACCACAGCATTATGATGAACGTGTTGTGCCTCGAGCTGGAGCACCCATGCACCGCCCGTCTTCGGTCCATACAACGCCAACTTCCAATCGGAAAGGTTCTCCTCCATCTCCCTTGAAGCCACTGAATTTGTCACAAATATCACCTCAGGATAGTGTTTCACTTTTGACGGCAGAGGATGTCAGTCCAACCAACAAAATGTATCAACAACAACACCCCCCGCCGCCTCATCAGTATCCACAACAGTCTCAAAAGTCACATTCGAAATATCCTCCAATGCAACAATCACGGCAACAAAATCCGTCAGCTTTTTGGAGTATACCCCAAAATAGTGGCAACTTGTCCCGTCCTGGAGCTATTGAAGAAACCATGCGACGAGTGTCCAATGCATCGTCCAGTATGAATTCAGGTACTCAAAGAAGAAATGGCACTGGTACTGCGGCTCTCAACCCGAATACAGCTGCATCTTTCGGGGCTGCGTCCTTTGCTACTAATGCCACTGATACCCGGCAACAGCAAATGTCGCAACTGTTGCAGTCCTTACAAACCAATCTGAACAAGACACAGCAACGTTTGGACGATCAAGAACGTCTCTCGAGGGAAAAGGAAAGTCAATACAACAAATTGCAATCCGAATATTACCAATTGCAACAGAATAATCGAAAATTGACACAAGAAACGGATCAGTATGCAAGGGAAACAATCAAGGCACAACAACTTTTGGAATCTAGTCAAGTACAAGTAAAAGCTCTGGAACAAGAAGTGGCAGTTTTGCAGCAGAGTTTGAATGAAAAGCAAGACGATCAGTCACAGTATTTTGAAAACATTGCGAAGCAACAACAGCAACAGGCGGAAGAACTGGCAATGGAACGGCAAAAGCTACAAGAATTGCAGCAACAGTGGTTTCAAGTCCAAAACACTTCGATGCAAGACCTGGAATTCAGAGAGCACGAACAAGATGAACTCATGACCAAGAATCAACAGGCCTTGAATGAGCGCCAACATGCTTTGGAAGAAGAACGCATTCGATTGGAGTCCCTCAATCAAGTATTGCAACACAAGGAGGCAGAGTATCAAGACAAAACCAAAAAGGTAATGACCCAACAGGAGAAACTGGACATGAAGGCGCAGGCACTCGACGAACGCAGCAAGGAAATCATGCAACAAGAGGCGGCAATTCGCAAACGATTAAAGGAATTGAAAAGTGTGGAAACGGCCATGCTGGAACAGCAACAAGAGTTGGAACACACGCAACAATCGAATAATGCACGACAAACCTTGCTCGAACAAACCCTCCAAGAAATGCAAGAACAACGTCAGGAAGAAGAAGAAAAGTTGACCATTGCCTCTCGCAATCTGGATGAAATGACTCGACAGTACAACCGACTTAAAACAGATTCCAAAGCGGTCAAGGATGCTCTCAAGGCGAAACTGACGACAGGACATGCAGAACTCAGTAAGGTCGCAATGCAAGTTGAGGAAAAAAGACAAGAGTTACAGGCAGTGGAAAACGAAATGAACGAATTTCACAACGAACAAGAAGAAGCCAGAATCCTCGGGGACGAACAACTAAAGCAACAACAGCTTGGGCTCAGGAAACTGGAAGAGAAAATGGAGCAAATCCAGAGCGTCATGTTGATTGACGAACAAGCGATTGTGGAACAGAGAAAGGAATATGCAGAACTGAAGGAGCAGATTGAAAAGGACGAGGAAGCATGGCAAGCCTCTCAGCGACAACGTCATGCCGACGAGGATCAACGGTACAAGGCTCATCGAGCGGAACATCAGCGGCAGTTGGAGGAACAGACCAAAAAGGCCAAGGAAGAACTGATGGCACTCAGTAGCTTTATGACATCGCAAAGTGATGCCATCAAGACGAAATACACTGAAAAGCTTAACGATATGGATCGCATGCAAGACAATCTGGAATCGCTTGTTGAGAAGTATCAATTGGATCGCCAACAACTCGACAAGGACATTGAAGAGTATGCGACCAAGAAACAACATTTGGATCAACTTGTCAAACGGTTAGAAGCGTCCGAGTCGCAATATAAAGATCGACAAGAAGCCCTCGAATGGGAAGTAGCCAGGTTGGAGTCCCAACTCAAGGCCGATGGGAAAAGTCATGAAGGACTTTTGCACAGTAAAGTGGAAGAACATCAACAGCGCATGGACGAACTGCGCAACCAACACCAACAAGCAGTACAAACCATGTCTCAAAAGATTGCCGTATTGGAATCCGACAATGCAAGACTCGAAGAGGATTGTGTCGCGCTTCAGGCCAACTTTGACAAGATGCAACAAAACTACTCCAATGAGATTGAACGCTTGCAAAATGCCAAGGCGAACTTGGAAGAAGAATTGACCAATGCGTTGACGGCCTCGCACGAAGTCCAAGAGGAGCTCATCCAACTGCGACAACATGCCGAACAGCAACAGGCTTCTCAAAGTGCCGAACGTGCCAAGATGCAAGGAATGTTGTCACGATTGGATGCGAATGAGAAGGCATTGTCACAAAAGCAAAAGGAGTTGGAAGAGCGAGAAGCCGTGGTGCAGGAAACTGGTGCCGATGTTCAGGCAAGACTGGAGGAACTGATCAAATTGGTAAGCAAATGCTTGTTTCTTCGTAATCTTTGTGTTTCGATTCATTCCTTTGTTTAACCTTTGCTCTTCCGATAGGAACGAGAAATGTCTGCTCGCAAGCTTAAGCAAGACGAAGAAATGGGTCAATTGAACGAACTCTTGGAGAACAAATTGAAGGAGAAACGAGAAAAGTTTGAAGAGGAACTCACGCACAGAAGAGAAAGACTAGCTCAAGAATTGACAAGCCACAAGAATGAATGGAAGGAAAAACTCCTCGACGAGGCAAAACAAGCTGCCAAGGAAAACTCACAGCGTCGCAAGGCAGTTGACACCGAATTGGAATACCGACGAACTACCTTTGAGGCGGAACTGCAAGCCGAACTCCAAAAGAAGCGAGACGCTTTCGATGCAGATCTAGAAGAGCAGGTAACCGCCATAGAAGCGATGGAAACGGAATTGCAAGGAAAGAAGGACATTTTCGAAGCTGAAATGTCTGAAAATCTGAAATCATTGGAAGTGCTGGAGGCTGATTTGCAGGAAAAGCGAAAACTCCTCGACGAGGAGATTGCCGAGAAAATGGAGGAGCAGCAAGGAGAGTTGGTGAAAATGGAAAAGGAGCTAGAGCAAAAGCGAGAAGCTTTCGAGTCGGAAATGTCTAAACGACAAAAGGCCTTGGACTCCAATGTGGCAGAAGCTCAAAAGAAACAATGCGAATGCGAGGAAGAAATGGAGAAGCTACAAGAAGCCTTGGATACCAGAGCAGCAGATCTACAGCAGAAACAAAATGAGCTCGAGGAGGAATTGATGGAACGGCAGCACACACTAGATGCTGTGGATGAGGAATTGCAGAAAAAGTCAGCTGCCTTTGAAGCTGAAATGGCAGCACAGCAAACTGCTTTGGAGGCCGAGTTAGAGGTAATGGAAACGCAACGTCATGAACTGGCCACAGAATGGGCAGACTTTCACAAGACGCGTCAGTTGGTATCGTTGGACAAAATCTTCAGCAGCCCTTGGAGACAAGACCAGGAGGCAGTCAGCGCTGCATTTTCAAAATGGGTTCGAAGCAGCATGTTTGAGAGTGGTGTTGAATCTGAAGCCCGCTTGCTAGAGGCCCATGAAGAAATGAACCGAACCATGGATGAGATTGAAACTAGTCGAAACGAAATTGAACTTCGACGCAAGCAATGTGATGAAATGGAAGCAGAATTGGAGAAGCAAAAGGAGGCTTTTGAGCAGGAATCTAGTGAAAAGCGAAAGGCTGTGGAAGAGCTGGCCGAGAAACTGAAAGAGCAGAATGAAAATTTCAAAAGGACCCTCGAAGGTAAAATATCGATGCTTGACGAACAGCAAAAGAGTGTTGAAGCGCGTTCATTGGAATTGGGTGATCTTGCCATGGCTCTTGAAGAAAAGCAAGCGTCCTTCCAGGAGGCAATGTCGAGCCACGAAGACGAAAAGGCCAAGCTTCAGGAAGAATTGAAGACTATTGATCAAAGTCGCGAGTCCTTGAAAGACCTGGAGGAAAAGTTACAATCCCGTGAAAAGGATCTTGCTTCAAAGATTGAGAAGTACGAGGCAGATAAACTCTCTCAACAAAAGGAGTTTGAAGCACAGCGACGAAGTTTGCAAGAGTTGAAGCACAGTTCTGAGGCACCTAGTAATGTCGACCGCGCAGTCTCTGCCGTTCTTGATCATAGCATGAAAGCGGAGCGGAAATGGATGGAAGAAACTACCGCTGCAGTCTTTGAACGCGAAAGTGAGTTGAACAGAAAGGAGATAGGTCTTCGTCGCACGGAGAACGAGCTCCAAGAACGCGAAAGGAAGTTGGCTGGGGAGCTACAGACAATCTCTGATGCACAGGCTCGAATCCGAAAGATGGCAGAACAATTGCGGGGAAGGGAAACGAGAGTTAAGGAGCTTGAATTGCAGTATAACGTTGAGTTGCAGAAATGTCAGGATTCTCAAAAAAGAATACAACACATGGCACTTCGTCTGAAGGAAAAGAACGAGAAGCTGAAAGGGGAAAAGCAGGAACTCGAAAGACGTATGAAGAGTTGCAACGCCTTGGAGCAACAATTGCAAAAATGGCAGACCGAGCTCGAAGACGGAGGAGGATTGACAGATTTCGACAATGAACTGTCAGCGATCTCACCTAGTGTAGAAGATGATATCGAGTTGAACTTCTAACTCGAGTTTATGGCACTGTGTAAATCTTTTTCGTCGTCTGTGACTGTAAACTATTAAAATTATAAGAACATCAGAACAGGACCATGTAACAACTGAAAGATCAAATCGGCGTCAGAGCAGGTCCCTCTGGCAGTCCTACTGACAGCCTCACCTCGTTCAAAGACCAACGGCCATATGGCAGGGTTGGGATCCTGCGACAATAGGCCTCGCCCTCCACGATTCAGGCAGGTGTAAAATTGCACAAGGTCATAGTAGCAGGATGTGTATCCCATGTTTAAAATTTGTAGAATTGTATTCACCTCGATTGCCTTGTAGAGTGCGGCAGCCCCCGTCTCTCGAAAAGGATTGCCAAACAGGAAGATCTTTTTCAGTGGCGGTGATGACCTCAGATATTCTGCCAGTGCTAGGATGCCTTCATCTTGGATGTTGTTAGATCGCAAATCCAAGTCTTGAAGGGTCTGATTGGGAGCAAGGTATGTTGCCAAGACAGTAGCATCGTTGTTGTTGAGTTTGCAAAACGACAGATTCAATGATGTCAGGGTTTGGTTCGTGCTCAGTTGCTGTAAAAAAATGTTACAGTCCAGTTTGCTTGCTCGTTCAGCATGTTGGTGACTCAGGTCGAGAGACGCTAGCTGGCAAGTAGAATCGGCGTCTAATAGTCTTCCCAGGGCCACCGCACCTCTTTGTTCGAGGTAGTTGCGCGGAAGTTTCAATATCTTGAGTTTTGAATGGCTCAAATTTGAAAGAATGCAAGCCAATTGAGAATCATCTAGTTCTCCGGCAATTATGCAAAGGGTGTACAGAGATTGATTTTTGGCAAGCGCCAAGGCAAAAATTTCAACGCTTGGATCATCAAAAATGCAATAACTCAACTCCAGAAACCGCAACGATCTCGTTGTTGTCAATGCCAGAAGCACTCCACTAGAATTTTCCACCACGCTTGCCTCGTAGAACTGCAGTTTTTGTAAATGCTTACTGTGTTGCACATATAACCAGAGGGGATCTAGACCCAAGCGTCCCACTTCTGTTGCCTCGATCCGAATGGATTCCAGAGGTGTTTTTATGGTATCTGTGGAGAGTGCTTTTTGGATTCCGAATCCACGGCAGGATGAAAACGACAGGTGCTTCAACCGCTCACAAGATCCCTCGTTGAGTATATCACGAAGTGCATATGCCGTTTCTTGTTCCAGTGTCACACCGCAGAACTTAATTTCCATCAAGTTCCTTTTTCCTTTGGTTTGTGCCAAGATCGCAACGATATGTTCTGGTTGAAGAACCGAGCGATTGAGGTAAAATTCGCCAACCTGCAAGCTAGAACACTCGTCATCTTGGAGTTCCTTTATTGTTCCTTCAACATAGTGTTCCAGATCTCGATACTTGAA